AAAATGGACTGGCTTATTATGTCAAGCTACAGAGAAGCCATGAGATGGTGGAGAATTGACGAGGCTGGTTGGGCAAAAACACAAGCTAAGGCACTTGCTTATCTTGCACCTGGGGTCAAGCAAGGCGTAACAACTAAATGGTGCCTGGGCTGAAGTGGAGACCTCACAGCCCAATGCTGTCTCAATGAAGTGCAGAAGAGCATCCACATCTCTGTGCCAGCCCTTAGCCTCATCGCCCCTTCAACCGTGCATAACAATCCTTGTTATAGATCTGTTTCTTTAAGGAGATAAATGGGAGTAAAGACCTGGCAAAGGTCAGATGGTCTTCGCTGCTGCTTCAGCCAGGTGGAGGAAGATACTGAAGTGTCATGGTTCTGTGCTGCCTTTGTTTAAACTGTAAATTCTATAACTCAGTTTGACTGAAGGTAACCAGAGACCCTCTTTATCCCTTGTTTACATATAAAAAAACACACCCACCAATATGAAAATGAGAAAACAGCTGCCCCCATCCCACATCTATGACAGCAGCAACAGATAGTCAGTGATTTTTGACTATAGTCACACCTCCATTTTTCCATGGACTATGAAATTGGTATTTCAAATTCTCCATTGTGGAAGGATAAGAATACAATCCCACTTCACAGACAAGTCAATGAGCTTGCTCATCCCAGCTCCCCAAAGCAGAGATGACTCTTCAGTAAGATTTGCACCTGACTGTGTTGGATCGCATCCGTGAACAACTGTACACAGCACTATGCACTTATAATTTGTGCATCTAGTGCATTTATCATCAGCAGTCTAACAAATGCTACTTCAATACATCAAACTATTCATGAATCTGTGACCATGAAAATTTTTATTCAATGAGACCAGACTTATAGCACCTAACTGGTTATAAATCAGAAATAAAGCACACCCAGCCCCTCTGATTTCTGAGGGTCAGCTAGAAGGGAAGGGGGGTTATTTTCTGCCAGTTTCATGCACTTACCACAACAGCCCTGATCTCCAAGAAAGGTAGGTCAAAAAGAGCCAACCATACAAATTGTCATGGTTGATGGTATAAAAAACTTGGTCTTACTAATGTGCCCCCTTATACTCTTACTCTATAAGCTTATTTGAACATCTGAAAGAGCAGTTTGTATGACCACCATCAGATTACTCAACTTTAGCCTGAAATCTCCCTCAGAAGGGCAGGATAAACCACTAAGTAGTACCCTGAGAAGATGGTGATGTGTGAATCCACTCTACCCCAAAAAACACATCACAGTGAAACCAGACCATTTACAAACTTTTAAAGAAGGGAATTCTGCAAAGGCCTTTGCTCAAATGTTCTTGAACCTGTTAACGCTACCCAGAGTCACAGCACATAGAATAGCTTAGCATGACAGGAACCTCTGGACCTCACTTCACTCAATCCTCTGCCCAAAAAAGAACTCGTTTCAAAGTCAGATCAGGTTGTTCAGGGCCTTGTTCAGTCAAGTATTAAATATCTCCAAAGACAGGAGAGCCCATAGCCTCTCAAGGTAGTCTGCTCCACTGACTTCACCAACCACACTTACTGTGACTTATATATATTTTTTCCTTCTCTCCAGCTGGAATGTTCCTTTCTGAAACTCATAACCTCTTCTCTTTCTGGTGTGCACCTCTAAGCAAGGTCTGGCATTTCTAATATCAAGACAATCTGAGTTAGCAAGTAAATTGTACTGTGAAGGTATATTATACACTTGAGCCAAGCTGACAGCTCACCACTAACAGGGACAGACCAGCCCTGTACATGTCCCACAATCTAATTTCAGCGCCCCTGTTCTAGCTCTGCAACTTAAACGGCTGCACAGGTAGCCAATTCGTCTTGTTAACCTGACAGAAATCCATTCCCTTGTTTAGTTCCTATGTCATCTCAGCAGTACTAATATCTTCTGCACAGGGTCACAAGGGAGAAAGTGGAGCTGCAGGTAAGAACAGAGCACCCTTTTTGAAGGGAGGCGGGTGGAACATGCTATAGCCTATGACTTTCCATTTAAGTGTCACAGAATATCATATGCTAAAAAATTTCCATCTGCTTTAATAAACTCTCAGCCAATAACTAGATAGTCCTCTTAGGCATGCTTCCTACTTCATCCTCTCACCTCTGGGATGATATTTTCCATTTCGTTCCTCAATAATACATCCTATGTCTTCTGTCATCCATGAAGACAGTTATTAAAATAGCGCTTAACTAGTACTAATTATATTTGGCATTAATTACCACCTGAGTCAAACAGAACATAACAGATAGGAAATACATTTGATTAGGGGATGTTATGCCAGTTGGAAACGGAGGAGCAATAAGTTCATTCAGTTCATACAGATGCTGATGTATGATGTTTACCAAGCCAAAGTAGTATACCAGTCTGTTGCACTGAAAAACTTCACAGTAAAGCCCTAATGGGGATCTTATTTCAAGTAAACACCACTTAGCTTTACTGGAAAGGAATGAGGTACCCCAAAAAGCACATACTTTTTATATAGCAAATATTCTCACACACACCAAAGAAAACTGTCATAGTACCAGCCTTCGAAGTCACATTTGGCAGCTAATGACAACATAAGTTCCATGTTTTATAACAACTCTTCAATTATACCAAATTTTGATAATTTCCCAAACTAAGCCTTTTGAATGTGGGCTACCCAGAACCTGCCGAAAGTTGTTACTGATAACAAAGGAAAAGCATTTCCACAGAGCTGTAGAGAAGCTTGGTGAGAGAACAAATTGAATCTTTCCAGTTTTTAAACATGGCATGTCATGGTTTGTAAAGTCCATAAAGATCAGCAATTTATAAGATCAGGACTCATGTATCCTTTATATGACACATAAAAAGTAATTTTCCAAAGGCAAACTCAACTAACCCAGATCAATGATGAAAATACTTATCAAGATTTAGAGAGCTCACAGTAATCCATATTTATCCTCGAGGAAAGTTAATTAAACTCATTCAGGTCTTTTTATTAGCACATCTGAATTTCTCTAGTCCATTATTCTCCTACAGGCTCAATATTTCAGTCTGAAATCAAGACAAGTTATCACATAAATCACCACTCCCTGCTCCATCCTTTGATACACTGTACCATTTTTGATGCATCCCTAGCCAACCATATTTTACAAGGATTGCTCCGGTATTTTACAGGATTGTCTTACCTGCAACAGACTGCCACAAGAAAACCTCACTGAATCCCTCCACAACTCTCTGCCCAGTTAAAACTTCTGCCATCTATTGTCAGACCATTCACAGCTTAACCCTTTCCCACTGCTCCACGTATGACTCCACTGCAAAGTGTCGACCTCTACTCATACCCTCCACCACTAGCACCAGGTTCACCATCCTCCCTCCCCCAAGTCCTCAAATTTTTACAGAAATACCTTTCTAAGTGATCTCACCAGTTTGCTTGATCAGTTCACAGCCTCTCAACTGTCACAAACAGATACTTCCTGCCCTCATTCCCAAGCAGACCTTTTGCCAAACAGTGCAGTCCTCTAGCTAAATGATATTCAGATCACCACTGTCCACGTGCAGTCCTGAAACACAGCTTGTGTTTTGCATATTTGCTAGCAAGAGAGAACAGGAGCAGTGCACATAACCTTCTCAGACTCCGGAGTCTCGCACACACCTTTGTAAAGCACCTGGTGACCTGCACTCCTCTCCTCCAACACTCCAAAGACCCAATGATTTTTAAGAAGGAACACAGAGCAATAACCCTATACAGTTCTCACAGTTCTTCCACAGCCAACCCTGCTTAAAGCCTGACTCTTGGGTCCTTACCCTAACAGAGAGCTTTTGTAAATATCTTTTACGCAGCTTCCTCAGTAGAAGCCATCTAACTAATTCTTGTCAGTTTAGTGTTGCCTATAAAACTTCCAAGAACAGATGTGGAAAAGAAATAAGAAAAAGCTAAAGAGCACAGCAAATCAGCTTTCATACAGTCAGAAGTTGATGGGAAGAAGCTGGACAGTCAACAAGGATCCTAACACCCATGTGCTTGCAGATCCAAGATATATTTTACCAGTAAGTTGAGCATCTATTCTTCAACAGAAGCATAAACATTACCATAAGAGGCCTGTATCTTTTCACTGTATTAATACATTTATTTAATTTAACTCTACAGTAAGTTGCTTTTCCGGCTATGCTAGGGAAACAATGCTACTGAAAATTTCCTAACCACCAGCTTCATTTCACACACATGTTCTGTCTCATAATACTTATTTCCCCTGTGCAGTCAAACATTCCTGACAATTACTGCAGCTGTGTTATTTTTGAAAAGGTGATACACAGACATTGCGAGAACATCTAACAATCTATACAGTCATGTTTTGCAAAGCATGCACAAATCAAAAACAGCTCAAAGTTTAAAATGCATCACTGGTCGCATACTTTTAGAAGTATTTCTGTAAAAGGAATAGTGCTTGTTGCCAAGCTATCTATCTTTCCTGTTTGGAAACACAGTCAATGTTTTTCAGGCTTTGACTTCATAAGGAGTAACACACATGCATTTTGATGGGACACCCTGCAGTAAAGCTGATCACCTGTCGCTTTACAGTCAGGCTGTTTCAGCGAGACATTGAGCTGCCATTGTTCAGGCTCTGGCCATTGATTAATTATTGATACCAGGTAAACTTTACTATTATTTCTTTGGGTTTTTTGAAACCCCTAACTATCAACAACTTACAAAGTTTATTTCTGTTGGAATTGCTTCTTGGTAAGATAAGTTCTGTGGGGAAGGCTTTCAGTTGGACATTTTTGGAAGACCTGTAAACTATACTAGCCAACATACAGCTTTTCATTCAACTAACAAGTCTTTTACAAGGATGCACAACCAGGATTGTCTTAACACCAACAGTCACTGCCAGTACCCAGCTGCATCACATTTCTAATCTTTTGCCATATGGACTTAATTTTCCATGCCATTATGAAACTAAGACAACACATTCACAGTCAGCAGGAATAATTAATTGATAATAAACAGACCAGGGTGCGAAGCACCATTAATGGCTTTGCTTCAAGACCGCAACACCGTGAACCTGTGGCTGCTCGGTGCTCTTCGGCTTAAAAGAAAACTCTGGAACGGGATCGCGCCACTCCCGAGGTCGCTTCCACGCTGCCCCCGGCGCCTCGCTGCCCGCGCTCGGCTGGGGACGGGTGCGATGTCCCGCGCCCCGGGACCGTGCCCGAGGGGCCCCGGCCCGCCGCCGGGAGGAGAACTGCTCACTGGCAACTTCGGCGAGGGTCTCCGCAGCGGGCAGTGGCGGTGCGGGGGCTCAAAGGACGGGGACGCCCCGCAGCCAGGGTGTGGCGCGCGGGCGCGGTACAGCCTGCCCAGGGCGGCGGGAGCGGGCGGCAACATGGACAGCGCGCGGCGTGCCCGCGGGCCGGCCAGGCTGCGGCCACGAACCGGCCGTGAGGGACAGGGAGGGACAGAGCTCGCCGCCCGGCAGCAGGACGGGGCGGTGTGGGCGCCGCTCTCCGCCGGGCTGCCGCGCCGAGCCGCCCCCAGGGCGAGAGCGCGCGAACGAGGCAGGAGGAGGGAGAGAGTGCCGGCGGCGCTCACCCGCCGGCGAGCGCTGCGGCCCGCCGTGCCGCCGCGCCCGCCTCCTCCAGAATTTTTGGCGCGTCCACCTGCGGAGATCATCTGGGGCACCCCGCCGCCGCAGCGGCCGCCCGCCACATGGTCTCTTCTCTCAACTCGCAACGCTGCCGCATCTTGGGGGGCGGCCGCGCGCTCGAAACGGCCCGCGCCAGCCCAGCCGCCGAGCGGAAGCAGCGCGCGCGCCGCAGCAGCCCGACCGCCGGCGGGGCCGCCGCCGGCAGCCTCACCTCTCCGCCTTCCTTCCCCCTCCCCTCCCACCCGACCGGCTGCCTGCGGGGCGGGCCCGGCCCGGCGGAGCCGCGGGCGGGGCAAGCCGCCGCCCCCGTCTTAGTCGAGGTCGCCGCACCTGCCCGGCCCGCCGGGTTGTTATGCTGGAAGAGACCTCTGGAGATCGTCCAGTCCAACTCCCCTGCCAGGGCAGGTTCACCTAGAGCAGGTGGCACAGGAACGGATCCAGGTGGGTTTTGAATGTCTCCACAGAAGGAGACTCCACGCCCTCCCTGGGCAGCCTGTTCCAGTGCTCTGCCACCCTCCGTGCAAAGAAGTTCTTCCTCATGTTGAGGTGGAACTTCATGTGTTTTAGTTTATGGCCATTGCTCCTCGTCCTGTCGCTGGGCACCACCACACCACGAAAAAGAGTCTGACTCCATCCTCTTGGCACACGCCCTTGAGATATTGACCTGCATTTCCTTGTGCCTCCCGGTGAGCTCAGGCGTCAGTGAGGCTGCAGGCGCTGGGTAGTGGCATTCCCTTGTGCCTAGCAGTGTTTGCAGACTTGTAGTGGGATGAGAATCTTAGTATAAAATATGGCTTAGAAAGTCGTGGTCAGCATCTTTGCAAATGACTGGTTTATGACAGACAAGAAAACCCCAAGCCAATGTTTAAAACTGATCTAAAATGCACTTGTTCCCATGTATATCCACCCAGAGCTCCTTTCATGTTATTGGATGTGGAGTAGTTGACAGTGTCAGCTCTGAAAGATATGCTGAAGAGAACGTTGTTGTACACCTGTAGGAGCAAAAGAACTCTCGGACTGTGCCTTCACTGGCATTTCATTTTGGCTAAGAAGTTTCCCTTTTAAACAAATCTGATGGTTTCCGCGTCAGTTTGCACACTGGAGCAGAGTCGGAGGTTTGATACTTTCAGATGAAACCAAAATGAAAGATCTGCAGCTACCAAGGAGTATTCAGTGCATAGGACCAGGCCAGATCTCCTTCAGAGCATGTCCCTTGCAGTGCGGACCACTGAGCTGCATCAGATGTTTTATTCCCCAGCTCCCACTGGACCACTCTACTCTAAACAGAGCCAGGTGTTTCCAGCCATAGCTCCGCCAGCCTTGAGGAGACGTTAGCTGACCTTTAGTGCTGAATTTACGCAAAGTTGGGAATTTATTAGCTAACAGAGCAGGCTGATAGGAGTGTTGAATGCTTGCAGACTGTTCGCATAATCCGAGAGTACATGTGCAATGTTTCCGTGCAGGTGATACAATGTAATAGCCAAAGGCAGAGGAAAGAATCAAGGAAATGAATGACAGCAACAAATCCACCTTTCCTGTTCAGGTTGTGGGCCTCAAGAGGTCTCTACACCAACCTTCTGCTTCTTGTATCTTCTGACCAAGCTGCTTAGAGCTTTGTCCAGCAGGGTCTTGAAAACATCCATGAATGGAGAGAGCACAACTTACCTGGGCAACCTGTGCCAACTTGATTGGTGATGCTTTTCCCCCTTAAATCAGAACCTCCATATACGACTGTTACCTCTCATCCTGCTGCTGTGCACCTCAGTAGAGAGTTTTGCTCTTGGATTTCCCTTCAAGCCTTCTGACTGGATGCAGTTCCCTCAGCCTCTCCTTACAGGGCACGTGCTTCCACTCCCACACCAACTTCACTGCCCTCAACTGCACTCACTGCAATTTGTCAACTTCTTTTTCATACTGGGGGGCCCTAGAGTGTGATGTGGTTTTCCAGGTGTGATCTAACAAGTTCTGAGTAAAGAGAAATAATAATTCTTTTGATCTACTGGCTTCATGCCTGTAAAAACAACCTAGAATGTCTTTATAAAGGTAGCCTTGCTCATCACTGTGGCACCCTGCTTACTTATGTTTAACTTGGTAACTGTCAGGACCAAGTAAAGTCCATGGCTGGGCCTTAACTGCCCTGACACCCTCACTTGGGACTTTAGCATCTGGAGTACTATAGGTTTGCCTGTGCCAAGTCCTGTCTCCTATTGCCTTGGCTTATCCGTTGGCCTTCCTTGATGGACCTGTGTAATAAATAGCTTTGCCTCCAACCCTTTCTCCTGCATGGACCTTTTCTCTGTCTTCTGCTGTTCCTGGCTGGACTTTCTGTCTGGACTCTGGACATGACTCATCTCACCTTGCCTTGGACTCTCAAGACCTATGACTACCCCAGCCTGACCCGGATCCAATGGGACTGCACCCAGGTTGGTGAGGCCATTGCCTTGCCTGTCCTGTGGTCAGCTTCGGTTCCCAGCTTATCCACCCTCATGGAGTGGCCCTGCTCATGTTGTCCTTGACATAATCCACCAGGAGCTCCAGATTCCTTTTTCAGTGAGTGTTCAGTCTATACTGCTGCAGTGGTTATTCCATTTTAGGTAAGGTATGACCCACAGGATCCATCCATCAGTTCCCTGAATAGGCATAGTGTTTTGATCAATCTGTATCTTTCCTCTTTCCCCTGAAGTTGTCTGTTTGAGCACACTTCAGCATGTTCATTAAATCCACTTCTCTTTTACAAGTGATATGACATGTGCAAATGAAATCGTGCATTTTGCCATATCATCATGAGGTGTATCTTACCCTCATTTTCAATGAAAGGATTGAGTGGAATAATCTTCAGTAAAAATGAACATGTTCAAGTAGTCATATTTTCTGTCAGCTGTATTACAATCCTAACGTTCTCTTGGCTAGTCTTAGAAAAGCTGATTGTTCATTTGTCTTGTCAGAGTGAGTGCTGAAGCTATTTCTGCTGTTGGCTAAAAAGGATGCATCACATTCTTCCTTCTTGCTTCCCTCTTTTGTGGTGTTAATACTCTTAAAATAGTTCAAAGCTTTTGGACTTGTTGCCAAAAGAATATTGTTGGTAGTGGAGCTTGTGCTTCCTGCTCTAGCAGCCTTCCTCTAGCTTGCTTTCTCCCACATCTGAAAACAGCCAACTACTGCTAAAGAATAAAATGTTAAGGAAAATGAACCCACAGTTGGTAGTAAAACAGTTGTGACTTAGGTTTTTTTGGTTTTGTTTTAAATATGTAATCAGTCCTATGCATGCATACAATAAAACTAGGAAGGATCTGTTGTAGTCAGGAGCATCTAACAAAGTCTAGAGTAAGGAAACAGAAGTGACTGAGCTAGATGAAGTAAGGAAATCAAAGTCAGTAGGGAAGTGGATCACTCGTATGAAAGTGCAATGACAATTGCAAGCATGCAAGTGGCAAGCTTGGGAGGAATTAATCTTTCATCACTGGTTAGGTAGGAGCTTTAGAAACCATCCTCTCATCAGGACATGCATCTTGATTTATTTTCTATGCTTGATTTCATGGTGTTCCTAAGATTGTTTTCCAGTTGTTTTTAAGAGATGTCTTCCCACATAGCCTGAACTTATATTTTCAGGAGACCTCATTTCTCTGGCCAGGATGTCCAGTTTTCTTCCTTTCCTGGCACCTTTTTCCTAACATCTACCTTCGCTGGCTGGATTTCTGCAGCAATTCCTGTAGGAAATTCTGTAAAGAAATTGCAGATAAATTCTGCAATAAATTCCTGATTTATTACTGGCTTTTCATCAGCGCTTAGCAGAAGTCTGTTCAGAGTAGTGGTTCCAATACTAGCTGTTCCAGTTGTTATAGTCTGTGATGCTCATTTCCAGTGACACAGGAGATCTCCCACCAGACACTTCAAAAAATTCTGATTAATTCCTTTAGACAACGTGGCTAGATTTCCATACAAATGGCCTCAGTCAAGTTGCCTGGGCATAGTAAGTCACTGTGCCCCTCTTGAGGAAAAGCTTCTGCCAAAATTATTGTAAGCAAATTTGGTAGCACTGGCCTGTGCTGTTGGTCAGTACTTCCTGCTGTGTCTATTTTTATGGGTCTTGAATTGATTTCTGGGGTCTATTTGCAGCAGAACTGCAGTACTAAAACTGCAAGTAAAGACACTGAGAGCGTCATGGAAGTACTTATTTGGCATCTGAAGAAGGGTTCTTTTGGATTGTTCACACTCTGAAGTAAACATTTGCTCTTCAATTTATTTCTTACAAAGCAGCAGTACACAATGTTGCAAAGCTGGATTAGTCATTCAGGTAATTAATTTCAGGTTCTCAGTTTTGTTAAGAATGGAGTTCAACTGGGAGTACAATGTGTCATAAGTGAGTTTAACTGGGAAGAGGTTAGGGTATTAGGTCTTTAAGTGAACAACCTCCCCATTGTAAGACTGGGTCTTACTGGAAGGAAAGTACAAACTATATTAACCAGTGTTCCAC